GTGATTAGCTGGGACTACAGATGTGAGCCACCACACCTGACTAACTTTTGTATTTTTTTTTAGTAGAGACAAGGTTTCACCATGTTGGCCAGACTGATCTCAAACCCCTGACCTCAGGTGATCCACCCACCTCAGCCTCCCTGGGATTACAGGCATGAGCCACTGCGCCCAGCCTGATGTAGGTCTTTATACATCTAATATGCTCTAGTTCACTGGACCAGCTATCAGCTTATATATTAATATAAGAAAATAATAAACCTTCTGTTTTGCTTAAAACTTAATTGATCTCAAACCAATCAGATAACTTTTCAAACTAATAAATTGGGATGCAATTGCTCAATTTCCATTTAATGCTTTGTAAATGCTATCACACTGTTTTATGAGTTTCACTATTGCTTTTGAAAAGTCAGCCCTCAGTCTAATTAACTGTCATTTTATTGTGAGAAATGTGTCTTTTCTCCCTGGTTGTTTTCATGATCCTTCCATCTTTGTACTTCTGAAGTTTCACCATAATAGATCTTGGTCTGGAGTTTTATTGTTGTTGTTTTGAAATTTTGGGGGCTTCATGAATTTGAATATCACTGTTTCTCATTAAATTTGATAGATTCTCAGTCATTATCTCTTTGAATATTGGCTCTCTCCTAATCATCTCTTTTATGTTTTTCTGATACTCTAACTACATGTACCTCATAACCTCTCATTTTACTCTCTATGTCTCTTAATCTCTCTTATTTATTTTCTACTTGTCTCTTTGGGCTTCATTCTGTGTAATTTCTTCAAATTTATTTTTCATTGTACTCTATGTTTACCTATGTTTAATTTGCTATTTAAATCATCTATTCTGTCTCTGATTTCAATGATTATACATTTTGCTTATCTAGAAGTTTTATTTGGTTCCTTTTTAAATATTCCTGGTTATTTGTCTCATCTTTCCTTTATAATACTTTCAAAATATTTTTTCTATAAATATCATAAGTACAGCTTCTTTATCTGATATTTTCAAAATTTGTAGTGTGTGTGATTCTGATTCTGCCATTTGTTTTCCTACTGATCTTATTCAAGCTAACTTGTTTCCACATGTATTTTGTGATTTTTTTTTAGTGTGTAATTGAGCTCACAACCAATTGAAAATTACTTTAAAGGTTTGACTTGCAAATCTTCACAGTCAATATAAATTCTTGTCCCCAGATTATATAAGAATCAGTTTCAGCCAGGCGCGGTGGCTCACGTCTATAATCCCAGCACTTTGGGAGGCCAGGATGGGTAGATCATGAGGTCAAGAGATCGAGACCATCCTGGTCAACATGGTGAAACCCCGTCTCTACTAAAAATACAAAAATTAGCTGGGCATGGTGGCGCACGCCTGTAGTCCCAGCTACTCGGG